AAGGTCGCCCAAAAGGAAGGAGAAAGCGTCGGGCAGGAGAAGCAAGTCCCCCCGGAGCAGGAGGAGCCGGAGCCCCCATCACGTCGCAGTCAAAGTCAAGCAGGTAAATCGCCTCGGTGCTGCCGCCGGGGCCTGACCCTGCCGCGGGTCTGGGGGGCCAGCGCTCCCGGGGAGGCGATGCTAGGGCCCTGTGCGCTGCACTGCCTCCCGGAAAGAGAGAGAGAGTGAGAGTGAGCCTCCTCTGGCAAAATTCATCCGTGGAAGGCAGGAAAAATAGTTCCTGACTTACTTTCTTTTAGTTGTTGTCATGTCTAATTTAAAAAAAAGTTTTACAGGTTCAATATCTGTTGCTATCCACTTCAAACTCTGTCCTGAGCAATTGAGTGTTCATATGGGTGTGTTGTGAATTTACCACTTGTGCGGACTGTTCGTGCAAGCTGCTTGCTTTGCCCGGAATACTGTTGATATCTGAAAGTCAAGTACAAGCCCCTTTAGCTTTCAGTTGTCTCTTCAAGCATCTTATTCTGTGGAAGGATGGCAGGTCTGTCTCTCTTTTTTAAGCTTGTGTTACTCATTGTAATCGTGGGAATCCAAATAGTTCAGCAAGAAAATAGTTTTTTACTACTTTATGTTAGATCAATACACAAGACTTTTGAGTCCTTGTTTTTCATGTGTTAGATTGTGATTTTTTTTTTCTTTAAAGTAGATTCCTTTCTCTTTTCTTCTAATTCTAAATAGACCACTATAAGAGATTATTCATTACAGGAACGAGATGATCATTGTCACAGAGGAAATGAAGAACGAAAGCAGAGAAACCCATCAGAACAAGAACACAGGCGAGATAGAAGTGGTGAGAGAGAAAGACACAGAGATCACTCGGACAGAAGGAAAAATCCTAATGAAAGGCCTGGAGGCCGAGGCCACGAGCGAGAAAGGGATGTTCAGAACATTCGTGAGCAGCAAGCAGAGAGGGAGTTCTATAATGAGAGAAGACGAGAGCACCGACAAAAGAATGAAGTGAGTGGTATTAACCAGAATCCAGAACTCGGGCAATCTGATAATAAACCTAAAGATCCTGTAAAAAAAGAAAAGCCAAGTTTTGAACTGTCTGGTGCGCTTCTGGAAGATGCCAACACTTTCCGAGGTGTTGTGATTAAGTACAGCGAGCCCCCAGAAGCTCGGATACCAAAGAAACGATGGCGCCTCTATCCTTTTAAAAATGATGAGTTCCTTCCAGTCATGTACATTCACAGACAGAGCGCTTATCTCCTGGGCAGGCATCGCAGAATAGCAGATATTCCTATTGACCATCCCTCCTGCTCAAAGCAACATGCTGTCTTTCAGTATCGGTAAGTATTATTCTCTGTGCCTGCTGGTGAAACAGAAGTATTCTGAAACTTGTATTTATAAACAAACAAACAAAAAAACCCCAAAACAGAGTTTAGAAGTGTTAGTTTGCTGTAAGTGTCTCATGTCAGAGATAGCTGGAATTCACATATGGCTGCTGTACGTTCTCTTAGCAGTAATCAAAAATACTTGAAACTTCTCCCATTTAACCACAAGCAGTCTTCCTGTAAGACAAATAACATAGCAGGACTAAATGCAGAATTGGATGTATATCTGAATTGGAATAAACGCTCTCAGGTGTAATTAGCGGTAAAAATATTTTGCAACCAAGATTGCTGCTATCCTTTTGAAGCAGCAAGGATTGTATGCTGCTGAAGACAGAGCTGCTCTCAAGGAACAGCCATCTGTTCTGTGTTACAAATTACTGTATTATATCACCATAAGTTTTAGAAGGTGATGCAGTCTTTCAGAATCTCATCCCGAGTGCCTCCTTACACTCATTATGCTTGCTTAAATTTTTGAAAATACAGAACGTTTTGAAAACTCCATCTACTTCTAGAGTGGCTGCATAAATGGGAATTTTGTGTCTGTCTTGTTATGATTGAAATAGTGCTTTTTGTTTTGCCAGGCTTGTGGAGTACACCCGTGCTGATGGTACAGTTGGCCGCAGAGTAAGGCCTTATATAATTGACCTTGGTTCTGGCAATGGTACTTTTCTAAATAACCAGCGGATTGAACCTCAACGTTACTATGAACTGAAAGAAAAGGATGTGTTGAAATTTGGGTTCAGTAGCAGGGAATATGTTCTTCTCCATGAATCTTCAGATAAATCTGAGGCAAACACAAAGGACGATGATGAGGAGGAGGACGAGAAGGAGGAAGAGTCTGACAGTTAACAGATCAGGAGGAAATTGGGGGGGTGAAAAAAAATCTTTGCAGTAGAACGTGCATTGGGATGTAAACATTGGCGCATCGAAGCACTGATGCCTCTTATTGCCTTAAAGTCCTTCTTCTGTTGCTGGTCTGTTCTTGTAGCTTATTTTGGGGACTTAATCATCTTGGATAGTTCTGCTTATCAGGAAATTCAGCTTTTTCTAAGCTAATTTCCCCTGACAAAGAAAAAAGAGCACCTGGATGTGAAAGCTGTGGTGCTGGAAATATTCAACAGATGTTGGAAGGCTATCCCCTTCTAGTAAATGATGTAAAACACAGTGGGCATATTTAAAATTATTTTTATGAACTGTTTTGTCATAATCCTTTGAAAATGCTACTTAACTGAAAAATAAGGTAGAAACTAGCTGATATATTTTGTCTTATTTGGTAGGATTTGCCAAATTTGTATGCCTGTTAAGAAATCTAGACAGGAGAATTTACCAAGTTTCATTACTAAAGAGGCAGAAATGTTGCAAAGCCCCTCTTGTATTTGTATGTTTTGGGTAGTTAAGTTTGCATTGTAATAACTTTTCAGGGATGGGCATTTTACCAGAATACCTTGTAATCTACAGGTAGTATAGTTGTAAATGAAAGGAAATGCTTCCTGGGACTTTAGGTTATGGGGCTTGAGGTCTAAGTCAGTATATGCCCAGTATATGTTGAAACTAGATACTGAAATTTTTATTGGATGTTGGGTATCTGGTTCTAAAGCTGGGTCCTTCTTCTTTTTTTTTTTTTTTTTTTTTTTGATAACACCACAGCCCCGTAAATAACTTCTCCTTGTTTCTATTACATGTAGATACCTGTTATGTGATTACATGTTTTCAACAGTTTGCACTATTTAAGTTTTCTTTATATAAAATTATACTGTCATTTGTTTGAAGTATTCTTGTTTTTTCCCATAAAAGAAAAGTTGCTTTAGGAGGGGGAAGAAAATTCTACTTAATGAAAATACTTACATTTTGCATATTTTTGGATATCTCCTTCCTGTGCTTGGTTTTATGATAAAAGAAATGTAACATTTTTCACTTTGTTTACTAACTTTGCCTAGATGTTTGTTCTGTGGTCACACATGCTATTCATACATGCTGTGTATATACTTTGTGTATACATATGTTACATATTGTATACACAGGCTGAAACGTTTATGGTGTAAATATGGGACATTAATGTAGGGTTTTCAAACAGCTGGTAGAAGAATGTGTTTTGACTAGGAGGATCTCCTTTATATATACTCTAGGGGTTTTTAAATAAAGAATTTGTAAATTTAGCCCTAATTAATTTTAGTTGTAATATTTTTCTAGTGTCCCTTTCTCCCTCTATATTATCTGACATAGATGCACTATATTTTTTCGGAGAAACTCACAAAGATGAGGGAGAGATGCTGGTATTGAAGGTATAAATTATTGCAGTTCTTATGGTCAGCAAAAAGGTTC